AGGAATGCCTGCATAGGTCAGACTGAGGATTAAGCCAGAATCCCGATTCCTGACAGGGGGCTTGGACTAGATGATCTCCAGACGTCCCTTCCAACCCTGACCATTCTGTGATTCTGTGATTCTGACAATAGCAAACAAGTGGAAGGTTACGAAAAGTGTATAAACGGAAGGGCAAGTATAGAGTATTCCTTCCCCAGTCCATTCATCTAGCGCCTGATGAATAACAAGGTAAGGACCAAGTTCATAAAGACTTGCAAACCTACAGCTCTTCAGATCACAGAAATAAAACAACTAAAACAACCATTGCAGCTTTACCCAGTGATTCGAAGTCCAGCAGTTTCTAGGTCCAATGGTGTTCATTTCCCGCTCTCTATAGGGAGATGGTTCTGTGTTTTCCTAGATACTCCTGGCCTTCATTGTACCTTCTCCAGGGTCCTTTTCTTTGGGATCATAATATTCCTTTTTCTTTTGAATACATGAGTCCTTTCTCTGTGTTTGGATGCATTATCCATGTGTGACCCTCAGAATTTGCCATGGGCCAGACCTTCTGCACCCAGTTTCACAGGATGCCATGAACCTCCTAAGCAGACTGCAACCATATGGATGTTGAAATGTAGGCACTGATTTTCCCCATACAGTACTGAAATCACATTTTTGCAATAGTGGAAAGAGTTCTCCAAGCCTACATCATCTGGCCCAAGAGGAAGTTAGACCAGCAGTGAACATTCATCTGTCCATCAGAGATTCAGGAGTGGAACTTGCCTCCTTCCTTCTTCCCACTCTGCTCATTGAACCACTGTGGGGTGTCATCAGGAGATCATTTCTCCTTCACAAGCCCAGCAGAGATAAGGTTTAGTGGACTGGGAAATGCATCCATAGGTACTGGTAGAAAATGCCTGCATGGCTTTTAAACTGCATAAAAAAAATTATTTCATCTCATGGTCTCACGTTGCCTAAATTTGTTGTGTCACTAAATTGGTATATATACATATGTATACCTATAATTACAAATACTTAATGGCTCATCATTCACAGTGCAGTTAGCTGCTTTATGCCATGAAAATACCGAATCAAGTGTTTCAGGGAATTAGGAAATTGCTCTCAATAAAAATAAATAATGCATTTATCCTTTAAAATAATTTTAAATTAGCTACCATGGACTCATGGAACACAGCATCATGCAGGAAGTCAATGATCCATAGCTCAGGTTCCAATCCCATTACAGTATTTAATTCAAAGTCTAATTTATGTATTTGTTTTCTTCCCTCCACAGGAATTAGCAGCCTACGATGCTGTTAATGCTCTTCAGTCAGCCTATGGTATAAGATACAGATATGGTCCTGCATCTAGCACTTTGTGTAAGTTTTCCTCTGGCACAGGTTTGTGACTTTGACCTACCCATAGTAAGAAGGAGATTACCCTTATTACAACAAAGAAAGCAAACATTGTTTAAAGTGAACTTTGTTCCAGTTGTGGATGGTGAGGAAGGCGGAAGACGAAGTTTTGTAACTGATTCAGTCAGTTGATTACAGTAAGATTAACTCAATTAATGCAATAAAAGAGATTAAAATGCAATGGATTTGAGAGGCAAAATCCAGCAAATAACATTTAAAACCAGATATTTTGAAAAAGAAAGATAAAACAAGATCTTAAAAAGCCCATTTTTATCAGAGATAAAGTGCTTGCAAAGGCACTACTAAGTTATAGAATATTTGTGAGGAAATAATTCAAAGTAGGTTTCATTTTTCACCATTACTTTGCCTCTCTTTCTGTGCAATTGTGAAGATACAGCTATTCATAGAGCTCATTCTAAAATTTAGGATGATCTCTTTAAAAGGTAGGTTTCAAATGTCACTCTGTCTAGATGATGATAAATGATAGCAACAGTATCTCTATTTGGACGTCTTCCATTTTTCACAGAGCAATTTCAAATGCATTTTTCCCTATAACAAAATATCTTTAAAATATGCCTTTTAAATATGTAACAACATTTGTCAGGCAAGCTCTCTGCATAGACAGGTAAGAGAAAAAGAAGTTCAACAGGTTTCAATGAGACACTTTTTTTTTTTTTACTGAAACTATGAGGCCTGAATGCTCTCGGTAATGATAACAGACATTGAAAAAGTGAGAAGCTTAAGTAAATAGCAAGATTTTTCACAGGTAACCTCCTGCATCTCCTCTGCTGTTGCTGTGTTTTGGCTAGAGCTCCACTGTATTGTGGGCCCTCCATCTCACAGCACAGTCGTTATCTTGTGCTCATTACAGTGCAGTCAGTCGGTATGTCAAAGGAAGAGCAGTGTGAATTAATGCCAGAATTGAACAGAAGACAGCAGGCCACATGAGAGATGGATCTTTATATAAATATAAGTGTCTTGGGTAATCAACATATGGAGATAACGAAAGTATAAGAAGCACACTTCCTCGGGAAGGTTTGTTAATATTAGACACCACCTATGCAAATGCTCTCATACTGTAAGGAAATGGTGAGAAAACAAGACAGAAATTAAAAGAAAAGGGATTTTAAAAGCACTTTGAAAAGGAGAATGTAGATTACTTCATCTTCTTTCTCCCTTCTCCCTGCAAAGGAATTGCCTAAAAAACCCAAGTTAAACCTAGGAGCATGCAGAGCTCCAGTCCAGCTGGGAGATCTTTGTGGAAGCAAAGCTTTAGACTCCACTCACCTGGGGACAAGAACATTTTGAAGCTTTATACTAAACATTTTCTTTTATTAAAGTTTTGCTTTTCACAAAAAAAAAAAAAAAGTCAGTTATTGATTTTTTCCCTGTGAAAATCAAGGATCTAATCCCATATTGTGCTGAACACCTTTCACCAGGTGCTGGGCACCCATGCCCTTCTCCAGCCAACAGCTGGAGTTGCAAGTATATTCACTGAGTCCTGGAGACAAAATGCCATGAGAACCCTCTTGTGCTTTCAACATGACCTGCATTTAACATATTTTAAAATTTTCTCCAAATTCCCTCTTTCAGATGTGAGTTCTGGTAGCTCTATGGACTGGGCCTACAAAAATGGCATCCCCTATGCGTTTGCCTTTGAGCTGCGTGACACCGGCCATTTTGGATTTTTACTTCCCGAAACACTGATCAAACCAACCTGCACAGAGACCATGCTTGCAGTTAAAAATATAACTCTTCATCTGCTGAAGAAATGTCATTGAGAGCTATTTCTCGAAGCTGGAATTGAGCGCTTTACTCCCAGGGCTGAAGCCTTTCAGTGTTTTCAGTTGCCATTCTAAGCTTGGCCACTTCAAAATTATAGAAGCTAATGGGAAACATGGTATTGTTTCAACAAGATTTGCTTGGTGGGAAATAAAAAAAGCATTTAATATCTGCTCTACAAAGGTCCATAAAGTTGATATACTAACTTAGTTACCAGTGGGAGTAAAATAGTTTGTTCTTTTTGCAGTAAAGCTTTGATTCTGCAACTTCAGTGGAGCAGGTCCAGGTCCACATACAGGTGCCTGAAATAAAACTCTGTTTCCAGGCAGTCTCTGGCCTTACTCCTTTCCCTAATGGGAAGACTTCCCTTAGCGGGGTCTCTTGAACCAAGGGATAAAGTTTACTTTCACGTATATGTATCCTCTGGCCCAACACAGGCCCATGTCTATAGCAGTAAATGGCATATATCGCAGCTGGCCACACTGCAAGCAGCAATGTGGCTTCCTTCTGCATGTATACATACATATGTATATGCACTTTTGTGATTGTTTTTTTCTCATGTAATGCAAGAATTTGACCCAAGGTTTCCTTTAACTGTTCAGAGAAACCTATTTTCAAATTTATATACTGGGAGGACTCAAAATCAACATATTGCCTTTGAAAAATGTAACTTTCCTAGAGCTGTGTAAGAATGATAATGAAATATTCTTGAGATATACAATACTCTGCTTTATGGAGAGACCATAGCTGACAAAACAACTTGCCATGACTTGGAACTTGGAAGCAGGCAGCTGACTGGTGCATCTGGGTTCTGCTGTAGTCAGTGACTGCCCATTTCCACCAGCTGAGGATCTAGCCTTAAACTGTAATTAACTGATGTGAACTGATGTTTCGGTATTCTTGCAATGAGTTCTGTAGCTCTATGGCTGTGTGGCTGTTCTTCTTGGAAGTCTTATTTTTTGCATGTTTTAAAGGAATTAATAACAGATTCTTAAGTGAGCCGGAGGTGAAAGCAGAAGCTTTACAGCTGAAATACAGTGAGTAAGCACCACGTTTGAAAGAGTAATAATGAAAGCACAGAGTATATAGCAACTTGTTGAGGGTTTTTTGGTACTTTTAAAATAGTATTTTTTTGATCTTATTATATCTACAAAAGCATATATTTTACTTTATTAATTTTGAGTTTAATCTTAATGCCATAACATGTTAAATAAAACATATTTGTTAATAAAAATCATCAAAGGCTTTTGAAGTATTCTTCATATTTCATTTAATTGTTAAAGCTTTAGTTCAAGGATGTGACAGTTTCACCTATCTGTAAAACATTACTGACACCAAGGATGCAACATTTTAAAAAAACCACGTCCCCTCTAAATAAGTACTTGAACTTAGCAAATGGGCAACCTTTATGAGACTAGGGAACCCTGTATTTAACTAAGAATACCATTGTTTTCAGGCCTGCAAGAGGCAACCAGTGGGCAAAGATGACATAATTGCATTCTATTTGTTTAATACTTTGTTAATAAGAAGTATTTATTTTAAACAAGCTTTCTGAAAGCTTATGCAGATTTGATTAGTTCAGACTTGATTAATGCAAGTTTCTATTATGGTTTAATAAAAATCTAGGGGACAGAAGCTCTCAAAATATCTATCCACTAGTCATTTCCAATTCCTTATGACCATAATCATTAAATATTTTGAAGACAGCAACAAGTGTCTTTTGCTACGCAGAGATTCTTGACCAGCAGTCTTGATAGTGGTGTAAATTAAATATTAGCATCAATTGTTGTGAGTTACTCTGGATTTAGGTGACAAGACTTAAATACTACAAGGACATGACAGACCAAAGTGAAGGACAGAAGGCATGAGTGACACCTAATCAGCATAAGGCAAATTTACCCCTGGATTGCTACAGTACAAACCTTTCCAAGTTCGGGCCAGGAGAAACCAGATTCACATGTGTTGGTTCGATTCCTGCTTGTAGTCCAACACTTTGTCATATGAAACACTTCAGCTTTATTTTTGTACCATCACATCTCCTCTGCTACTGAAAAGTAATTGAAATCTTGGAGCAAGAAAGGGGAAAAAAAAAACAACCACCAAACCCCTGTTTTATTTCCCGAAAGGACCTGACGTTGTAGATCTAGTTTACCTTCTTGGACAGGAATAATTGCAAGTATTCTTACATTTATCAATGAAGCTCTGAAATTTAGAAGTACTTGATATGATAAACAGTCCATGAATACAGAGCTACATCCTGGCCTCTGGATGGACTCTGCGTGAATACTATGTATTATGTGCAACTAAACTCTGAGCTGAGTTTTGAAGACCTGTGCAGGGTAATGCAGTGCCCCATAGCCGAATACAGGTGTAAACAGCCTCCGAGCCCTTTAAATTCAGGGTCACTAAAGCTGATCAGAAAGACCGTCACTACAAAAGAACAAACTGTGCTTCCTGAATTAAGAATTTGTAAGACAATTTATCAGCAAGAGTGATTCTAAATAGAGTAGTTTACCCTAAGGAAAGAACTACTGGAAATCAGGTATTTGGATATGGAATGACAGTCTTTGTGACTTACAAATGTTACTTCTCTGAACAGCTCTTTTTTACCTCCGTAATTGCTTATTTCTCTTTGCTTTGTACTTCTCTTCAGCAGTCTTTATTGCCTACAGGACAATAGAATCCATAACTGGTTTTGAGAAAAGTGAATTTATTTTATGATCGTAGGTAGTTTATCATTCAACCCAATAAAAAGTATGTGAACAGCAAAACACTGGTTATTAACCCAGCAGTCAAAATCCCATATGTAATGATTATGTGAAATCCAGGAGTTGCACTTCCATTGATTATTGATAGAATAATTATAACTGCTTCTGTAACCTGGAAAAAGTGCTCAGACAAGGTTTTGTGAACATCTGTCCTACTTTTTGATAGCTTTTATTTTTTATAAACAAAAGCCTGAGATTAACACACATGAAAGAAACAGGCCTATGCCTCTGCAATTTACCCTTCCCAACAACAAAAAAATTGTCCCAAATGAGAAGATTCCAAATGGCCTTGAATCATCACTAATAAATTGATAAAAAATTGAAAAGGGTATTGAGTTTGGTTGCAAAACGTGAAGAAAGAGTACAGCTGATGGGTGAAGAACCCCATGTCTTTTTCAAAAGTTGCTTCAAAAAGGCCAGCGTATTGGGTCACTCATGTAACATGTAAAGCCTATGGAAAACTGCAATTCTTTTTTGAAATTTCTGAAATTTGAATAGAAACAGTCCAAATGACCTTGAATGCCACCATGCATTTACTTCGAAACATCCAGTGCCAGTCCTCTATAACCAACTGCAGTGTGCAGATTGGGCTGCCCACTCGAGGACTGCACAAAATAACAGTTTATTGAAAAGACTGCATCTAATTACAGAATGATCAGGGTTGCAAGGGACCTCTGCAGATCATCTAGTCCAACCCCAATTCTTAAGGTTAAGAAGAAAGCATCATATTTCGTACCAAAACCAGGTTAGTATTTAACTATTCTAGTTTATTCATGTTAAACAACCCCTTCCCTTTTTATGTTTACATTCAATTTAATGGTACCACTCAAAGAATAAGATATTCGTTAGCATGGGTAGAGCCACATTTACTTACTTATTAAAAGCCAGATGTTACCATTTTCATGCAGTTCTTGAGTGATGGTAAAACACCAGAATCATCTCTCAGATATGTAGATACAACTACCCCTCTGCTGTAGAAGACAGAACAAGAGAACAGGAATTCAAATAAATTACAGAGTTTTTAAATATAAACCCCATGACATTAACTATACTTCTTTAAAGAACATTTTTAAGTCCTTACCCCACATAATACCTTTTCTGAGTTGTAAAACTTAAAAATCTTCTGTCCACTGAAAATGTAGATGATTTGGCGTGCTTAATGTATCCCGATTCTCATACCTCGTTCAGGCTAAAAAATTAAGGTTCAAAGCACTGTAATTGCTTCCTCCTTCAGCTGTGTAGGAGGAAAGCTGGGTGCAGGGGGAACTGCCTTCTGGCCGATCGCAGCAACAGGCTTTCAAGCCTTATCAGCACCCTGAAGTCAGGAGTACTGATGCTATGGGTGGGTCTGTCTTGAAGGAAGGTGAACTACTCCAGAGTGGTTTTCACAGTCCTCATTTGAGCATGCCTGTTGCCCTTGAGCAGCTTGTCAGAACTTCACAGCCTGAGGCTGCACATGGTGTCAAAACGGCCTGCCTTAACAAGGTCTTCTGTCAGTATCAGCAAATTGGGGATAACTGGAGTCACCCCAGAGTGGTGAGCAGACACATGGTTCTCCTTAGCAAATGATGTTTGGGGCAAGGGCACTTAGAATAGGCGAATCGTTAGCACCTGACTGCTTGTCCTTGCCTGACGGGCAGAAGCGGTCAAGCAGAAAGCCTTGGCTCTTCCTGCTTGCAGATCCTTTCCAGCCCTCTCTGGAGAGACCAAGTCAAGCCCGGCAGGGCTTGCCCTTGGATTTAGACATCAGGGAAGGCACTCATAAATAATAGATTCAAATGTTAATTAAAAAAATCTGCCACTGTCCCCAGCCATGCAGAAAGTGTGCTTTGCCTGCGACGAAGAAAATCCATTCATTGCCATAAAGACATGGGGTAATACATTTCACCCGTCCTGCCCGCTCTGACAGTCCAGACACCTTAGCACTGCTCCGCATTATAGAAAAAGACAAACGGCAGAATAGCCATAACAATGAAATATTTTAATCTACCCCCAGGCTTGTAGGAGCATATACTTTATCCCAAATAATAGATAATCACTTCTGAAATAAATATTTCGGTACAACTGTGAGCAGGTGTTTTAGTCTTTCGCGCTGACTACTATGTGCCGGGCTATTCCTCTGCATATCAGAATGGCTCAATGCTGGGAGGGTAGTCTCTTTTTTTTAACCAAATAATGAACCCTTTATATTTTTTTACCAATTCTGAGCAGAATATCAAGTTAGGTGTGAAGATACATATATACATATAAAAGAGTCTGAGAAAGTTTCATTTTATAATAGAATTTTCAATTTTCTCAAAAATAATGCATCTGTTAAAATCACAGCCAGAATTTTCAAGTGGCTTATTGTTTTCAGCAAGTCATAACCAAAACAACCCCAGTATAGCAGC